CTCCCTCCCTCCCTCCCTCCCTCTCTCGAGAGAGGTTAAGTGCTTGTGAAGCGGTTGCGGGTTTTGATTCGCTGTATATGTTGCGTGTTGCTGAGCGTCTTGAAGGCTGGTTAGTGTACGTAGCTAGGGACGATTGGAGGATAGAGTGAGTACGTGAGAGATGGATGTGTGTGGGGTAGGTGTTGTGTGTGTGTGTGTGTGTGTGTGTGTGTGTGGGGTAGGTGTTGTGTGCGTGTGTGTGTGTGTGTGGGGTAGGTGTTGTGTGTGTGTGTGTGTGTGTGTGGGGTAGGTGTTGATGTGTTGTGCGGCGACTACAGGGGCGGAAGCAGGCGATGAACGCAGTGTAACTGTAGCTTAGCTGCTGAATATGAGCTAGACACACTAGACACAGACTAGTTCATAACGACCATGTAATAGAGACAAATACGATACCAGTTACCTAGTTTTTGTGATTTTATATGCGCGTTTATGTACGCATATATATATATATGTGTAAATAATACTAAATATATACATATATATGTATATATATGCATGCCAATAAGTGTGTGTTGTAGGTGTAGTTGTATGTTATGTGCTCTAGGTATGGTGTGTACACGCCCAATGGAAACCACGTATGATATCAACAATAAAAACAACAACAGCAATAACAAGGACAACAAATGTGTAAACAATTGAGCCGTTTTTCAAATTTTACCGAGTTAGCAAAGCCTGATGAAGATAACCAGACTACTAAATCGAAGTTAATTGTTCATCTCTAACTTTATAGCTAAATGCCATCACATGGTAGTGAACCCACAGTGAACAGTGCAGTGGTTATCCTTCCGTTTGATAGGAATATCTCTTCACCCATATATGAACAGTGTAAATAATCTTGCACTCTCTCCATCGTTGCAGGTCTGCCGTTCCATGCACCGTTCGCATTTCCGCACCCGCCGCTGCCGGTGGACACGCGGGCGGCCGACAGCCGATACCTGTATGAAGCATCCCGTCTCCATGGTTACCACCATCCCGCTCACGGGTACGCGCGCGGCGATCGCCACCAGGTGGCGCGTCCGTAGATTCCTCGCAGACGTCAATTAGTTATCATTATTAATATTCACTTAATTTGTTATATATATATACTATCACAATATTATATTATATTGTACTAATGTAACTTATTATCGCCATTATGCACTTACCTTTCTATATATCACTGCACCTTACTACCTACATATCATTATCTACACTAGGGGTTAATACTACTCATCTATATCATTTATATAATATCCATATAATATACCTATTATCTATTCCACACCCCCCCTACCTAATCAATCATCCCCCCCTCTCCACTAATCCCACTCATCCTACTCAACTACTAAATTATCCCGTTATCATTATTTCTATATGCCCCATAGTCTAGCTCATCTGTC